GTGCGTGTGCAAAACACGCACACACGTGTGTGTGTGTGTGTGTGTGTGTGTGTGTGTGTGTGTGTGTGTGTGTGTGTGTGTGTGTGTGTGTGAGATAAATTAGGCAAATAACCGTCCTTGGAAACCAACCGAAGTCCAGCACAGCGGTGCCTTGAGATAAAAGTGGCCTGACTTTAGGAATTTTTCAAGATACAAGCCATCCTTTGGCCAATTTTTTTGCTTTGGGTTAAAATTTAGTGTCAAACTAAACAAAATAAAGAGAACTGAACCTTGTGCTTTCCAAACAACCGTTTAACTTTACCTTAAAGTAGCTAACACACAATGTAAAACGGCATTAGCATGGCCTTGATAGTGTTGTTGTAAGCCTTTAATACAAAACTGCCAGGTATATTTTCTTCATCTAATCCTTAAAAGTTACAATTTTATTGCAGCTAACCAAGGAGCTGAGACAGACGTATGTACAGTATTTCTGGGTTGTACTGCCCCCAAGAGCAGCACAATGTCCACTTAGTAGAAGCAAAAAAATGTGGAAAAGGTCTAATTGCGACATTACTGTGTTTTTATAAAGGACAATATGCTACCTTTCCAATTAAAACACATTACTAATTTTTTTTGTTTTTGTTGTAGTGAAGCTGGAAGGGATCAATGGCATTTCCATTCATTTCAATGCGGTTTGTAATAATGAACCAAGATTCACCGGACCCCGAGGTAAGATTCTCACCGAGAAGTCCTCAAATGTGAATCAGACATGCTAACCATTACTTCACCTTGCAGCAAATGCCACTCACAAAAAGATTCAGTGAACTTTTAAGAAAGATAATGCAAGTGGAAATAAGCGCTCCGAGAAGTTAGCATAGCTTGCCTGTCTAAAATTCTCACAAAAAGATTCAGCTAACTTATAGGCAAGATAATGCTGGTGGCAATAAGCGTTCAGAGAGGTTAGCATAGCTTGCCTTTCTAAACCTCTCACAAAAAGATTCAGCTAACTTATAGGCAAGATAATACAGGTGGAAATAAGCGTTCAGAGAGGTTAGCATAGCTTGCCTGTCTAAACCTCTCACAAAAAGATTCAGCTAACTTATAGGCAAGATAATGCTGGTGGAAATAAGCGTTCCTAGAGGTTAGCATAGCTTGCCTGTCTAAACCTCTCACAAAAAGATTCAGCTAACTTATAGGCAAGATAATACAGGTGGAAATAAGGGTTCAGAGAGGTTAGCATAGCTTGCCTGTCTAAACCTGCGTCTTAAAATGGGGGCGTTGGCTTGACTTGACATCAATCAAGCCTCTGAGAAATCTGCTGCACATCTCGACAACATGGGTGTGTGCACAAAATGAGCTTCGCACAAATGGGATCGGTTTGAGGAAAGCATTCGAACGTAACAGGTGGCTTACTTACCCGAGCTGTGTTAGCACGCGCTCCTCCAGGCCCAAGTACTTCTGCCGGTCTTCTTCCACCAGAACCCTCTGCTTTTGGACGGGGTCTTCCAGGCGTCGCAGGGCCTCTGCCAGTTTAGCGCCGATTTCCTGCTCAGCTCGCTTCAGCTGCACTCGCATGATCTCCTGGTTCTGGAGCTGAAAGCGAAATATTAAAGGGATGGTGCGGGGTGATTTTTTGTTGTTGTTGTTGATTTTATTCTGTTTTGAAAAACAGTACTTTACATACTGTAGCAATATAATGACATTGAATAACAAGAGCAAAAGTATCAACATTTTTTTTTTTTGCTTCATTTTAACACACTGTGTTGCTCCTTTTATTGTGGGAAGCTTGGTGCAGTATTTTTTTTTAACAGTGTGTTCAATTTAGTAAAATAAAATTTCTTCAATGTGTGCCTTGTTTGAATTGATGATGCGTTCCAAATGGACCCGATGGCTCTTTACCTGCAGCTGCCTCATCTGCTGCAGTTGCATCCTGAGATCCGACACATTCTTCCTGAACTGCAGCAGGTTGGCTTTGAGAGGAATCTGGCTCTGCTTGTCTTGTGGCGGCGCCGCGGCCGCAGCGAAAGCGTTGCACTTGGGTGCCAAAACCGGTGAGCCACCTCAACCAGGAAGAAATCAGAAATTAAAAAAAAAGAAATGACAAAGGACACTTGTGGCTTGATCAGGACCCGAGAAAGTGCCCATTGAGCTTCGAGGGTCATCAGAAAGTTGCCGCTGAGATACAGTACAGAGAGACTGGAAGACTCACAGAAAGGCAGTAGACTAACATCCTTGTCAATTTTATCCTCAATTCTACTGTGCAGTTTCTTGTTGAGAAGAGTAAGTCGATTTTAACGTCATCCTGATATTTAACCGCAAGGCTGAATAACGTTTTTTATGAGAAAGTTGTGAGCTGCTCTACCAAAATTAGGGAAGTTGCTAAATGTGTAAAAATTGACAAAATGACTTTTTTTTTTGTTTTGCACTTTTTGCCTTTGTCGCAACTCTCCACACACAGCAATAACACGGTGACCTATCTTCTGCACACAAAACGACTCTACCACCCAAATGTGCTCAGACAATAAGGCCTTCATTTTTTAAAAAAAAAAACAACACTAATGAGCAACATAAAACAATGTTATCTCCCGGCCCAGAGGCAACACAAGTCGTTTGGGAAGTGTCGCCGCGCACGTTCACAAAAATCACGCTCTGCCTCTGGAGAATAAACCTGTGTCTCTGCAAAAAACCCTCAATGACGACTGCTTATCTGCCGAGCCGACTTGACAGCTGCCCCGACTTGAAGTGCAGGTTACAATGTACACAAGCGCGCCGAGTGTCAACCAAAGTTCAGCTACGGCTTGGACGAGTGAAGGGGACTGCTGTTCTGTCTCATAGGTGACAAGAGACTGACTTGAGCTCTCATTGTCATGTCTTGTAATCACCCTCACAATCTGCAACCGGTTTAAGCCTTGCGCCAGCTGCCCCCCCCCCACCCACCCACATACACCCGAAAAAAAAAAAATCACAACTTTTTGGAGACTTTGGGAGCATGGAGGTGCAAAAGTGTAGAGGTGCAGGGTTTGATTCCAGCTACGGCCTTCCTGTATGGAGTTTGCATGTTCTCCTCGTGCCTGCGTGGGTTTTCTCCGGGTACTCCGGTTTCCTCACCACATTCCAAAAACATGCATGGCAAGTGAATGGAACACTCCCTCGGTGTGAGTGTGAGCGCGAATAGTTGTCTGTCTATGTGTGCCCTGCGATTGGCTGGCAACCAGTTCAGGGTGTCCCCCCGCCTACTGCCCGAAGACGGCTGTGATAGGCTCCAGCTCCCTTGGGAGGATAAGTAGATCAGAAAATGGAGGGATGGATGAATGATCAACATTTCGGCCAATTTTCTGACCCGTTACGGACAAAAGTAGGAAAACTGCATCGAAGTACACCATACTCACTCGAGCTGTGCGCACTGTGGGCTGGAGACGACGTCTTTGAGGGTCTCTCACTGCGGCCACAAAAAGACACTTTTAACCAGGTTTTAACCAAGGAACCAACCATTTGCTAGCATGGAGTACGCAGTCAGGTTAGAGGGTTAATGAGGACACGGCATGACCAAGGATGATGGGAATAGTCGGGCAAACCGGCTGTTAAAATGATGTTAATGACATCATCATCTTTTGGATTACGTGACAAGCAAACGTCAACGCGAGGACTGCATAAAAGACGGCAGAAAGATCCAGTTTGGGAAATGACAGCAACGGGATTGAAACATCTTTTGTCTTGTCGTTGGCTTTCGAGATGGGACAACTTGGACATCCTACCCATTTGTGCCCTGATGCCTACTGTATGGGCGTCCTATAACTGCAGTGGGCTTACCTTAGAGGCTCCTTGTCTGGCCCCTTTAAAAGCGCATGCTGAACAAGACCAGTCAAGCTGGCAATCTGTTGCTCCATTGCCTTCATTCGCTCTCTGCAGAAGACATCAGAAAATTCTACTTTCAGCGCTCGGGAGGCCTGCTCGGGTTGTTGGGAATGTTATCGTGACTCTGGTCTGGAGCGAGAAGGATCCCCTCTCCCCCCCCACATCGCAACTCATAGGCTGAGTTCTCAAACAATTCTTAGTCACCGAAAAAGGCCAGGTTGTCTTGCTTTGTCCGACGTCTTAGACCGACAGCAAACATTGAATTAGGCCAGGTTTATTTTGGAAAGTTAATACTTTCCCGTCCAAATTCCTCCAATCTTTTCCCAGACTCCCTTGACATTTCTAACAGTGCGTTCGGTCAGGAATCGTCCAGGTGGTCCGGCCTGATGTATCGGAGCGATAAGTTATTTCAACCCCCCCCCGTTTAGCCTTGTTTTCTTTAGTTTTACGAGGGAAGAACTCGCAGCAAGTAAACGGGCTTCTCAATATTTTGCCTGTCAGATTTGTCTTGATAATAATCAGCTCCGGAATCGGGAGAGAGATTGCGATAACAACGCTCAGAAGAGTAGAACCATTAGTGTCCGCAGAGGTGGGAGCAAGTCACATGTGCACAAGTCATAAGGAAGTCTCGAGTCTTAATCTTCAAGTTTCAAGAAAAAAAAAAAAAAATCAAACAAATCAAGTGGAGCCTCCACTAAATTTTACTCAAGTCGCATTAAGGCATTACTTTGCTTAATGGAGTCAGAAGTCAAGTCATACAAATCTTGCTCAGTCACGACAAAGTATTTGCACATCTCACGTCCCACAAAACCGGTCATGTGACACGACTCCCTGTGCATGAATCGGGCTGCAACTCGCACATCTCAGAGAAGGGAGAAGACATGTCGGTTAGCTTGAAAGTGGGATGCAGCGTGAGTTAGTTCATGCTCTGATGCACTCTTTTCATTCATATTTTCCCCCCATCCCGAGGTTTACCGTGTCTGAATGTCACTCGCGGCCGGGACAGGCCCTTGAGAGTGGACGTCTGACGGCGCCGCGTTATTCCTGCCCTTGGTCCCCGTCGCGTCCTCTTTCCTGAAGGACTGCCGCACCGACGAGCTCCTCTCCATGGGAACACCACCGTGGATGTCGATGAGCCGCACGTCGGTCATCCGGTGAGGGGACGGCGGAGGGGTCTTGGAGCCCAGCGTGGGAAGTTGGCTGTTTCTTGACTTCTGCCTGTACAGGGATGGGTGGTCGATTGAGTCTATGGGGCTGGGCGCCCCGTAAGAGCTCGTGGAGCGGATGGACACCCGGTGGAAGCCGTGTTCCGGCCCGTCGTGCCCGGTGTTGGGGTGCTGTGCGTGGGCCGTCGTCATGCCCATGCGTCCCTCCTGGAGAAGATAGGGGTCGGCGTAGTGGCCCTCGTTGGCCCTACTGCCACCGTGACCCTTTCCGCCCATGTCGCCGTCTGGCTTGACATCCCGCCTCTCCAGGATGGCACTGGGGCAGGGCGAGCTGGAGCGGGCTGGGGCGGTGGAAAGGCGCTCCCTGGGCACGGTGCCGTTGCCGGGCAGAGAGCCCTGCCGCGGGCTGAACGGGATCCGGGAAGGGGAGTGCGGAGAGGAAGGGAGCGTCGCCTGTAACGGGTGGTGCGGCGGCGGACCCCCTGGAGGCTGCCTGAGAGGATTCACCATGTCGCCGTGCGTCTGGAGAATAAACACTGCAAACTCAGTACAGACAAATACAGCAAGTTGCCAAAAACAACTTCACGCGTCGCCGTCGAAAAGCACAACAGGGAGCACCTAACCTCCAAGGTAAGTACTCAACATTTGCTGTCTCAAAGTCGTCAATGACAATGTGATTTATTCTACGAGGAGCGGCACAATGTCCATTGAATTAAAACAAAAATATGTCAAAAACTGTTTTTGAACATCCTGTTCAAGGACGGGATTACGTACGATAACAAAAACAATGCTTATTCTTTTTTTTTTTTTTTTTTTTGGAATGAGGTTTGTAGGAGGCTGAAAAATATTTTTTTGTGGTCAAAACTAAAGAGGCCCAAATGTCAACTTTTTTCGAAGTTTTGATGAAGGTGCACAATTTGGTGCTGATCCAAATTCCGAATCTGATGCCATGCTGGGATGCCGAGCGTCACTCTGCCTTTTGTGCTATATAAATCCGTTTTTTCTGGAAACTTCCCCCTTGAAACAAAAACATTCACCGAGCTCATTTTTTTTTATACTGTTGCTTTTTACAACAAAAACGCTGCCGTCAGCACGTTGTCCAGACACGCTGGCAAAGCTCCGAGCGGCTCGCTGGCACCCACGGGCCCCGGCGAAGCAATAACACAGACGGAGAGGTTAATCTGCGACAACATTTCAGCCGTCAGCTAATCTGGGGCCGCTGTTGTGAGGTGTGATAACCTGTAAACGGGCAATAAATCTAACTTCGTGTTTGGGGTCGTGAAGGAAAAAAAAAAAAAAGGAGGTCAATTATGGGTGGAGGGGAAAAAAATAGAGTAGATGGACATGCCTGTGATGAGGGAAAGAAAAAAAATGAAGCACTTTCCAGGACCAAGTAAAATAAGTTAAATGTGGAGAAAAAGGACTCTATACATGATATTTAAATTATAAAATTTTCCAGCGGCTCCTATATTTTGTTCTTCTACTTCTTCCTTTCATAACTTTGCTGCTGTGAATTGGGAATTTCTCCATTGCGAGACTAATAAAGGTTTTCTTATCTTATCTTATCTTAAAACATGCAATATAATTTCCTTTCCAATGTCTTGCTGTAGATTTTTCTTACACTGTGAACTGCCGAACAAAAAAAATGCTACTGAGCTAATGACAACACATGAAAAATGAGAAAACAGAAATCGGTTTTCAAGTGCGGGGAGTCAAAGCAACAGGTCCATACAGATACCTGAAAACTCCATTTAAATCCAGGAAGAAAGAATTTATCATGTGTTACTTTTCACCATTAATGGAGCGTGACAAGAAAAAAAAAAACAACACAAATAGATCAAGTAGACGCAAATGCCTGTGATTATTTTTCCTAGCATGACAAATTCTTGCATGAAATTTCGGAGACTTTTTAAATTTGTGGCAATCAAAATAAGTTACATAACCACTGGATGTGCGATGAGGAGTGTCGCTGTGCAAAGTCAACACTTCCTGACAAATAAACAAGCTATTGTTCACGGCGTGCAAGCCTGACTCATGGCAAGTCTCATGGAAAGTTCACTTCGGCTTCAGGTATCGTCTTTCTCTTCTCTTTCTTTTTTCTGGGGGGGGGGGTTGATTGATAAAGGAGATCAATTCAGTGAGTGTGACTGACGCCCTTTGTGGCCAAAGCTTTTTAAGTTATGCGTTGCACTTAAGTAGATTTTTTTTAGGAATATTTACATTTTTTTTTAAAAAAAAACTTTCATTAACCCTTTCAGGGACAGCGGTCACTCCAGCGGAGAGCCTATCATGTCATCAAGGTTCCAGGTTACCATTTTTGGTGCCCGAAAAGGTGAAATTAACTGCAAAGCAGGCAATGCACACGTGAACACGACAAATGTGAGCTTGCAAACCCTCAAGTTCGGACGGCCCCGTGCGGGGCCCTCTGTCATCTGTCAAAACAAATCGCTGATGCACGTCGTCATGTGTGAACATGTTATATATGTTTTAACAGCTGAGTTTCTGGAGATTTGAATGGTGCCCTACATGTTACAATTTTCAAATTTGAACCGAAGCTTGGGGAGACTTAAGCTTTGATCCTGTAGTGTTTTCAAGTCATAATCAACATTCGAAATCCATTTTCAAGACAGATATTGTGAAAAGAAATTAGACAAACATAAGATTCGCCTTTTTCTTCTGTTTTCAAACATCCATAGTTCAGTGACAGGAGCACTTACACAAATTCTTCCTGTATGGGAGAAATATTCATAATGTGACATTTTGAATATTTCAAAAAGTGACTAAAATTATGCTGATATTCCAAATGGTTCAAGAATAGCTAAATTGACTTTGGGTGCACCTTTCCACAGGCGTTTTCGGCAAAGTTGCCCTCGGTTTAAGGGGTTAATGAGCACGCATCTCGCAACATTCACCTAGTAACACTTTTTTTTTTGTTTTCACAGAAGTATCTGGACTTCAATTTGTGCCCATGATGAGTAGAGTAGTTTTGCCACTTTGTGTCAAGTTGTCAGCAAGACTCGCATGTAGGGAAGGAGACTGTCCCCCCCCCCCCCCCCCACACACACACACACAAAAAAGCATAAATCTCTCGCAGCTTGGAGATCACAGGAAGGAGTTTGTCGAATAAGCGCGCATACATCAGTGCTTGGCAAATGACAGGCCCCGCTGAGAACATTTGGCTTGAGTTAAGACTTCTCTTCAAGGTTCCAGTGTCTTCCCTGACATACAGGCTACGATTTGTCGGTTCTTCGAATGTCAAAATATCAGAATATCGTACGCCTTGAAACCGGATGCACCGTGCATTCGTAACACTTTTTACATGATGCAAAACAGACATACCTTCCACACCTCATTCCCCACGTAACCTTTGGATGTGTGTCAAGTGCAGCCGGGTTAAACAGCGACAAAGCTCATCGTGACAGCCATCTTCCGATGACTGACGATAAGAAAGTGTTGTTTACAAGTTTTACAAGCTCCGACATAACCATCGCGGTTCTCTTGTCAAACAAAACCATTTTTTTTTTCATGGTCAAATTGTCAATTGGTGGAGAGCGGGGTAGCTCAAAGTCAGGCCCGCGGCCCATTAGTGGCCCATCGTTCATTTTTAGCGGCCCAAGATAAAAATTGTTTGCACTTGTTATATTCATACACACTGCCCGATAGAATTTTTGAATGGCGTATTACTTTAATCCTTTCATGCACCCTGTAACCTGATAACATGAGAAGCTGTCCGCTGTAGTAACCGCTGTCCCTCAAAAGGGTTAAAGTTGAAGTGGCCCTTGAATACTTTGATTTTTCTGCGAGCAGCTTGCAAAAGAAAAAGACCCGATCAGTTCATCGTTACTTTCTCAAAGTCATTCTCAGCTTGTGTGGATGTTTTGGGGGGTCTGCAATACCCCAGCAGCAGCAGAGATAAAAGGTGGTCCGGATTAGAGGCAAAGGCTTTACTTTTGTTTCATCCGCAGGAAACAATGTGAAAAAAAAAACGTCAACAAAGGAAGGAGATTAGAACTTGTGTTGAGTTCAAGCTGTGAAGCGTACAAGCGAGTGGAACAATATGGGCCCCCCCGCCGCTTCCAACATCTTAGATTAATAAGAAGCGGTGGTCATGTTTTACTGATTTAGTCACACTTGTTTGGTCGACTTTGGCGAAGATGTTAAAAGACTGCCAGTCAAAGTGTTTCTTTCTTTCACATTCTTTCATGGTTCAATTGCATTTATTTTGCTGCTTACGTGAGCATGTAAGCAGCCAGCGAATTTGACGATCTCATTGGCCGAAGCCCATGTCGCTCACGAGACTAGGCCCCGCCTCATAAGCAGGTAACACCCAAAGCCACAGATACTTCAGGACAACGTGACCTCCATGCGTGCTGTTATGTTTAATATTGCAAAATCAATTCTGACTTCTAAAACTCGTTAGTCGTGACATTTGCAAGTCAAGGTACCATTAATTAGATTTGATAGTTGCAAGACAGATTAATCTGTTGTTTGTGTGTGCCAAAAAAAAAAAATTGATGGAAAAAGGCTCTTGAAAAAGAATTGCAAATTAAATCATAATCACAATATTGGGGGGGGATCACAAAATGACATTATTTATTAAAATTGTTCAGTCCTACTTTTTTTACACCTGTACTACTTTGCGATGGATTCAGCACATTTGCACCATCCTGTGACATTGTATTGTGTCAAACCCGAATAACCACAAAAACAGGACTAGGTGCTTTTTTAGCAAAGTTAAGTGGAAGAAATTAAATCAGCTGTGCACTCACCCTGGCGTCGTCATTGGCCGGCCGGGGCCCGTGGCTGAAAGCCTGCGCCGGGTCCTTGTGGTAGACTTTCAGGCAGGAGTGGTCTGTGATATTCCTGTACGGGGAAGAGGAGACTAAGGGTAAGAAGGCGGCCCAGGCGTCGCCGTCGGAATACGGCCGACGCGGCGTCAGCCCGTTCCTTCTCTTGACTAGCCCGGCCAGCGGTATGTATCCTGACACGGGCGCCGAGAATCTGCCATGCCGTTCCATGTTGCGCTAAAATCCACGCCAGACACAACCGGTGCCTTGCTCTCACGATGAGAACCAGGACGCTTGTGTCAACCTTCAGCAAGCACAAACTCCTTTTTACAGCACTGATAAAAAAAAAAAAAAAAAGACTTGGGCCCAAAGTACACATGGCATTGGAGGTGGAACTGCTTATCATTTGTCACGCTAGATAACATAATGCCCTTGCTTACATATCGTAGACTAGGAGTGTTCTGTGTTTTCTAATCTGGCCCACAGAGGATTTATTTTAGCAAGAGACAGGTAATATTTGTTGCGCAATTGTTAGTTAATATGTGGATATCTATTCTTTACTCCAACTCAGGGGTGTCAAATTCAATTTTGTCGCGGGCCACATTGTAGTGACCATTTCCCTTGGCGAGCCGTTATGACTGTGAAACCTGATCAATAAGTCAAGAATAACGATTTATTCAACGATTGTTGAAGTTACTCTAATGAGGGGTTTGGTAACAAGAAAATGCTTACAATGTCTCTCTTATTTATGACATATGAGAATTTGACATTTTGGAACAGATTTGAGCAAGCATCATGGAAGTAGACATGTTTGATTTGCTTTCGCGGGCCACATAAAATGATGTGGTGGGCCAGGTCTGGCCCCCGGGCCTCGAGTTTGACACCTTGATTTTATTTTATTTTTTCATCTGCGCATAGTGAATTACGTATAAACATTTTATTAATTATTATTTTTGATTAAATGTTATATGTAAAAAATAAGTCCACACCTCCTCCAGGCAGCATTGGTCTGCTCCATACAACAACGGAATGGAAAGGGGAGTTCGGCAATTCCACTGACAGTTTATTTTCCGCAGAACCGATGAAGGAGATTTGGTCGACTGCCCATCTGCGACATCGCATACAGTGCGCTGGCGTTTACCTGACATCGCTGAGCTCGTAGTACACGTTCCTCATGTCGTCCTTGACGTAAACGGCCACGCTGGGCGACTCCAGCATCTTCATGGTGAGCATCTGCGGGAAGGCGCTGACGAACAAAGCTCGGACCGTGTCGATGCTGGTGATCTCGTTGGGCATGCGGATTTGTTTAGTCTCGTCTCCGTACTGCAGGTAGAGCACGCCTGATGGACAAGGAGAGCAAAAAAAATCAATCCACGGACATCGAATGACTCTTCAGGCAGATTCCAACTGCTCCCAAACTCATCCAGACCTGGAAATGTTTTCAATCAAATTCAATTGGCGTTGTCCATACTTGTGTTGAAACCCTGCTGTCGGTTGTTTTTGGGGCTGCGTGCTCCCCATGCGTATCGGACAGCGAGTCTGGAATTGAACTGGCTGTGTGTTGCGTGAGCTGCAATTTTGGGGGAGGAAAAAAAAAAAAAACAGATGTGTGCCGCAGAATGTCTGGACACGCCCCCGCAGCACTTGTACAAACAATAGTGGCCTGAAACAAAATGTCCATTGAAGATTCTGCACTCTTTGTCTGTGCTAAAAGAAAGTCCCCGTGGCCCGAACTGGCTGCGGTATCATATTTCGAGAAGAAAGGGTTCGTTGCGCGAAAGTGGACTTTCTATCGGTTGACTACAAACAAAAGAGCTTTTACTTGGTGTGACTTGATAAAAGCAGCGAGCTGGTAAAAGCTACCAGATGTCTGTGAGATTCCGATTCCTATTCGTGGTGGGGGACTTGTTTGCCCCCACGCCCCAAGAGCTGCTCTGTTAGCAAGCATCCAGATGTTTGACGCGACAGGGGTGCCATTGAGCAGACGCGTATGAATATGCAACGACAAAAGGTGAATGGAGTTTGCTTGTGATCGGCGGGAGGTGGGCGATGCGCGGCAAACGGCCGGCTTCCAGAACAAATGCGTCTTTTCGAACTCTCCCAATACCGACCACAAGTTTCAAGTTAAGAATAGTGAGAAAACGCAAAAACTCCGTACTCACATTTTCTTTCTCGGAGCAGAAGTGGCGCAGACTTTTTTGGAGATGAGCTTTTTGTGTGGGTGTGAGCGTGCGCGTGTGGGTTTGTTACTGTGGGAGGGACGACGCAGTGAAGTTCTATTTCACTCCACCCCTCTTGAAACACCATCACACAACCCCCTACCTTGGTCTACTTTGGCTGTCCCCTATACACTTTGTCCTGATGCGGAGCACCTACTCACTAACTATCTGAGGTGCTAAAACTACTTAAACTCTGTACTTAAATAAAAGTACAAGTATTTGTGTAAAGCAGGGTGTCAAACTCATTTTTGTTGCAGGCCACATTATAATTACCATTTCCCTTGGAGGGCCATTATGACTGAAATTATATAAAGAAGTCAAGAATAATGGTTTATTCAACTATTGCAATGATTGGTTTGGTCACAAGAAAATGCCTACCATATGTCGCAGATTTATTACGTCTAAAAATTAGAAATTTTGGTTCAGATTTTAGCAGCCATCATGGAAGTAGTCATCTTTGATTAGCTTTTGCGGGCCACTTAAAATGCTGTGGCGGGCCACATCTGGCCCCCGGGCCTTAAATTTGACACCTGTGGTGTAAAGAAAGACTGGGTAAAAGTAGAAGTACTGTTTCAAGTCCTTAAGTACAAGTACAGACTGCGTATAGATGTAGACCGCGACGTTAGCTTCTTGAGCTAGCTGCTAAACGACTAGCTCCCTATTTGGACTCAGGAAGGAATTATTGAAAATATAATTGATCTCAAAGGTAAATTTGGTGTCAATTGTGTGTGTTTGGTTGGTACAAGCTTGTGTGGCACCGTACACAAGCTTGCTATCCACAAACTTACCGAGCGAGCGGTCTTTGGTCTGGTTGGTGGATCTGACTACAGGAAGGCTGGCGCGGACCCGGCTGCCCCGGGTGAAGCCTATAGGCGCGTCCACCTCGGACATGGCTTCCATCGAGTCCAGGGAGTTGAGGGAGAGGTGGTCCACGTCCACGCCGGGCTGCGGGCTGGGGCAGTGCTTGGGGCTTCTGCTCTGGAAGCAACAAATGATGTAGCGTAAGGATCTGGATCCCAAGTTGATGTGGTTATTAAAATAATTGTAATAATGATACGAATAATAATAACAACAAAATAAAGTCAAACTGAGTCTCCACTTAATTTCAAGCAATTCGAGTCAAGTGGTGACGTGTGTTAGCAAGTTATAAAGTCGAGTCAAACAGTCTTGCTCAGCCACAACATTGCGATGAGTACTTGCGTTTGTTAAGTGTCCCAAAAAATGTTTTTTTTTTTAATGGTCTCAAACTGGCCTCCATAATTTCGTTTTATCGGTGTCACAAACTTAAGCAACGTGAATCAGTTTGACAAGCTAGCGGTTAGCTAAACTGTGCAGTTAACGTAGCTTAGCTGACTTTGTGGGTTTTAAAGTGACAGATGAAGTTCAACATCCTAGTTGTTGTGGCTCTTATCGTTGAACTGTCACTCTTTTTTTTGCCAGATTTAATCAAAAACATACCCTTTGAATCCAAATGTAGCAATTCCAAAGGTTGGCTGGTTGCCTCAAGCGATGTCAAGTCTGTGTGCGAGTGTCTGGAATGTGAGCCGCGGTCAACAGCAGCTACATAACACATTTCTGCATGACTTGTCTAGTGATGTGGTGTAACTTTCGCAACCAGATTCTTCTTTGAGCTTTTGCCCAGCAAGTCCCACGTCATGTAATTGGCAACTTCAGCCCGACTCCAGCCAAGGCATGCGACTCGACTGTGCATTAAGTGGCTGCGTTTCTCACGCAGAAGCCCCCCCCCCCTCCTCCAACCTCCTCCAAAAAAAGTTGCTACAAGTCATTACGGAGTTATGAGACGTGACCATCGTTTGTAATCAGATCAGGCCTCCGCTAAAGTGAGGCTTCAATACAGCGATGTGCGCGACAAGACTAAGGAGCTCGTTGAGCTTTTGTGACGCGTTTGTAAAATGATCTGCACCGCCTGGATTAGGTTGGGGGGTGGGGGGGGGGGATGCTGAGCCCAAGAGGGGGGACGGGTCATAGAACAGTGGGCTCTTTCTGCAGTGACCTTCTTCTATCGCCACTGCCAGGCGAAAGACTCGCAAAAACATGTCTGCATGCACATGCTGCTTCTTTGTCACACAAAAGCATTTTGTTACAAAAGTTGACAATGTTGACAGGACATTGAGAACCCTACCTTGTTGAATCTCTTAAAAAAAATAAAATAAATAAAATAACAGTGACATACTGAATAAATAATCTGTAATCTTCCAGATGAGCCACAACCCAGATTTAAACCCAATTGAAAGGTAACCTGAAGAAGACTGAGCACGAGTAGACAATGAAGAGTGGGGAAAAAATATATATATTTATGTATGTAACTATGTACAGTATTTAAATGCCTAATTTTCTAAAATAAGTCAAATATGATAAAGTATATCTTAATGAATATGTCTGTTAAATTTAACTTAAATATTGTAAATATTGTTCAGTGTATTTTTATTACAAAACAGAAAAATTAATAGTAGGTATTTCACACTTTTTTTTAATTACACATATCTGACCCTTTTGCAACTTGTTTTTATGTTTATATATTTCGTTATTTTATATATATATATATATATATATATTTTTTTTTTTTTCTTGTTTCTTCAAAACAAAAAACAAATATCACAATAATTGTTAAACAGTGGCGTGTTCATTTTCAATCACCACTGTACCTAATGATGCTTTTCAAATCTTTTTTAACCCTTTCAGGGACAGCAGTTACTGCAGTGGACAGCTTGTCATGTTAGCAGGTTACGGGGTGCATGAAATGTTTTTTGTTTTTTGTTTTGTTTTTTACGTGTTTGAAATCTTATGTGAATTAATCATGTAATAGTGCATTGTTAGAACACAACAGCACCGCACGACAAGCTGCGGAGATGCGAGACGAGCGGACTGACTGTGCGACCGGGCGACTGGATGGTCATCAAGTAGCTCTGAATGTCAAGCTCGGAGTGCAGGGAGGAGAGCATGGCCTGCAGAGACTGATGGAAAGGAAAAGAGGAGGAGAGCAACAGAGGAAATAAAAATGCCAGCGGGAGGCCACAGATTGGAAAACGAGACGGTCATCAAACCCAACAGAGGCGCCATGGCAACAACATGATGCAAACACAACACGGAGCGTCTACTGAAAAGTGCTTAACAACACACATCAGACCATTTTGTACACTTCGTCACTTTAAATCATCACTTTTGGCTCTATGTGATTAGTCACAGTGCGCCGGGGGTTTATTTGACGCTTTAACGACAAGGCGGGGGGGAAAAAAATCGCTGAGTCATAACTCTTATTAAAATATGCTTAGCCACAAGGGATTTAAAAACATGAATAAAAATGTGTCTTTATGCCGTTCATGCATGAAGATAGGAAGAGGTGACCAGGAGTTGCCGGGTCACTCGAAACCACGCGTGTGCTGACGCTTTGAAAGATTGATGTGTCTCCGAAGAAACTTTTCTGTGTCACCTTGTGGGAGCTGGAACTTTTTTCAGAACAGAAGAATTTTTTTCCAAGGACCTTCTCATCACCCTAACGGCAACTAAACATCACGACCATGCTATGGGGATTTTTTGGGGGGACAAGGGGGAGAATTTCAGCCTAGGTATGATGGACTTGTGAAATTAATTTATTGCCATGGACGTCTACAGTGTATCCGTGAATCAAATCCCAAGGTGCGATATAAGCGGTTTCGCATTACAGTGTGTGAGGCAAAATTTAAATTTTGCGCCCCATAAATAATTGCAGAGCAAAACTAAAAATCAACCGCCTCGACTGGTCCAAAAAGCTTCGTTTATCATAATGCCATTCTGTTTAGTCCACAGCAGGTGGCAGCGGTGTTCCTCAGTTGAACACGGTTCTTGGTTTTCCGTTTTGGTTTGCTTGTTTTTATTATTACTTTGGGTTTTGGTATTTTTGCAATTGGGTCATCTTGTCTTTCGTTGACACACTATTTTCGAGCAAGCGCTTTTGGTTTCTCTCGTTTTCTCTTGGTGTGCCTACCAGCGTCATTATTTGTACTTTGTCGGCTTCGCGCCATTGTTTTCTGTCAAATAAATATTTTTGTGGACCTTTATCTGAGTCTACGTCTTGGAGAGTCCGATTCTATTCCGGAACCTTCTGGAACCGTAACATCGCTGGGTTGGAAGCACACGCACGTTAAAGTGGAGCAATTACTCGACTGGTTTGCCGCTACTAGCTTGCTACAAGTAGCATCAAGCTTAAGATGGCTGCTGCTATGACGAAACGGTCGCTCTTCAGTCAGTCATCATCACCTCCATCCGAGCGAATAATCTCACGTTTCTGTCCTGGCAAATATAGTTCGCGCAAAAGGGGCGCCGAGGCAAGACAGTGAAGCCATGCTAACCACTAAGCTAACTTAAGACTGACACAGCTAGCATGTTTAACATTGAAACTAAGTGCCTAACTTTGGTCCATTTTTCTCAAATTCAATGATTTGCAAAATGATTATTCCATGCCTTGCAACCGTTTATTGCAACTGTTGAAATTCTCCCAAAGAATAATACAAAAATACCATTAGTGCATCGCACCATAAAGCTACTGATGCATGTATCCATCCATCCGTGTACTGTTACTATTTGCCCGGCCATCTATCATCTACAAACGCATCTAGCGTCCAGTGACCCTTGCATCCATCTCCCACTGATCCATCTATCCATTCGTCATGCATGCATTCATGATCTGACCAACCATCCATACATCTGGGCCTTGCCAGTTATGTAGCCATGAAACAATGTAGCATCCCTGAAATAACGGAGTACAGTAGTACATGGTTGAAAAATCGCATCTCGATACGTAAGAGCAAGTCCGCAGTCAGTTTTGTGCAGCCTGTCAGCGGGTACATTACAGCATAATACCCACGCAGCAGGCTCCCGATGGCAGCCGCCATTACTCCCAGCAATTTTCTTTAAATCGAACCATCTTGGCCTGTCTCACCAGGCCGTCCGTCTGTCCGTCCATCAGACGGCTGACGGGTCGGAGGTATGAAAGTTTTTTTTTTTTTTTTGTGTTGCGATAATATGCTCAAAATGAGCCGATGCGCTGACCTGTGAGATTTGAATAGCATACAAATAAGGTGACGCAGGCAGCCGTACATGAGCACAGCGGCGGAAATGTTTCCAGGATGTCCTGGGCAGGGGTCACATTTTATGAAACAATGGCTGCTGTTCGCTCATGCGTGTCTCTTTGTGAGCCTCCTCACTCCAAAACGCATACACGCTGCATTGCAGAAGTCCGTTTTATCTAGTTTCTCTTCCGGCGCGCTTAATTTCTTTTCCTTCCACCTTACAAAGTGCTCGACGTAAATATAATTGATGCATGTTAGTTATTTCAAGACGATGCAAAATACATCACTTTAATGACCGTAAATAAGCACGACGGTCTGGGAAAAGGTTTCCGTGTCCCGCAAACTCCCGAGTAATTAATGCCCGCCAAAATGTTTTGAACTGCCTATATTAATAGTTCAAACTATAAATATACCACAACCCATTTAATAGTATCATTTTAACCTCATCTTACAACACAAGGAGAGATTGTCAGAACAGTCAGGATGCATCACGTCAACATACTTCCTTGACATGAGTTACGACGTTTCGATTAGCGATTAGTCAGGGCTGTCATGTGTCCGTGATGGCCGTGGACCCAAAAAACAAGGGAAGCAAGAGAACCACGGAGTACTGAACAAAAAAAGAAAGAAAAAAAAAACACTTGCAAGGGTACAATGGGAAAACTAAATCAAAAACACAAAGTCCTGAAAACCACAAGAAACCAAAGTAACAAACAAAAACTTATGACAGAAACACAGAACAACGTGACAGCAACACAACACGGTGCGCCCTATAATCCGATGTGCCTTATGTATGGAGTTGCAATCTCTTTATATTCCCCATTGAGTTGCTTCCCCGTTAGTGTTCCTATGCCATCTAGTGGTTATTAGTAGTAACCAATTGGAACCTAGAAAGGTTCTTTCTGCCCGACACTCATTGACAAATCCATTCGCCCACACACACTCAAACAGACAACTATGTTGTGAGCTCAGCGCATCATGAAACGAAGATAATACCAAAAGCATCGTGAACGACTGACTCAACGAAGGAAGAAGGAGACAAGCAAGACTTCGAAGGATATTTAGCCCCTTGTGGATGTGTGCCCACGAGGTTTGTGTGCCTTTTTGTTGCATCAATTGTCTTCATAATGTTTGTCTTTCATTTATTGTTTTGTCAGGCCATTTGCATTTATATGTTTCATGTCCGTGTTTGTGACCGGTTCTCATAGCTTTGTGACAGCTGCGGCGGTTGTGATGGCTCTATATAAATAAAGCTGTATTGTATTGTATTGTATTGTATTGCCTTTAGCGTAGCACCATCTAGTGAATGCATAGCGCAACTGCAACCACTACTGTAGCTTCTATTATATGCGCCTTATAATGTATAATGTAGTGCGCCCTATATATGAAAACAGTTTTAAAATAGACCATTCATTGAAGGTGCGCCTTATAGTGTAGAAAATACGGTATGTGACAAGCCAACCGCTAACTGGCAAGGGCTGACTGTAGTTGGGGGACCCGCATGTTACTTCCTGAGCTGCCCCCCCCCCCAAAAAAAAAAACCCTGACTTGCAAACTGAACAAAAGGGTCTTTTCATGCCTTCATATCATATTCTCCATGTGTCAGATGCACATTCCTCATGGCACATGCGAAAAACATTACATATGGTTTGCACCAGAGCAGAAGAAATCACCCGTGTGGAATTTCACCGCAGGTGCGAACGAATCTCAGCAGTTTTTTTTTTTTTTTTTAACTGACTTGATCAAGGATTTCCACATCTGAAGCGCTTATCTGGTACAGCAGAATCTGTCCATGAGCGAGAGGCATGGGAAGATGAGCAAGCTGGTCTGAGTTAGACAGTTGACCTCCAGCGAGAAAGACTTCAAGAGAGTTGTTGAACTGAAGTAGCTTTTTCATTTCCACCCAAAAAGTTTGGCAAGACTGTACCTATCGAGGTCATAAGATTCGCAGCTGCGTGGACAACAAGAGATGGTAAACAGAACAAGTAGGTGAGAAGGTCAATGTAGATAGGTGAGTCGGTAAATAAGAAAGAATAGGCTGGTGAGATGCTTGTAGCATAGATAAGCTCGTTGGCAAAACTGTATATAGATCTTTAGAAAGTTGGACGATAGGTAAGGTCAAGGTACTGAATTCTGCAGTTCCTACCAGTCTAATTTCCCGCTGATCCAAATGAGGACAGTTCAGTTTTGGCAGAGGTCCAAGTCTCACTCCATTTAAGAGATGCATTGACATTTTTGGCCTAAACACCTACAAAGTTTCTACCACTCAAGCAGACAGGGCTTGAATTCCTGCCTGCTGCCTGCTGCTCAGACCTTTTTGTCTTCCTTAATGACATTACGGCCAAATCCCCTCGTCATCCATTCCCTTTGTGGCTTCCTCCTCTGATGCATTCCTCTTCTAATCCTGCAGTTCGAACTCCCCTGATGGACTTTCTGACTTGCGCTGACTCGTTAATTTGTGTCTTCAGTGGGAATTACTCTCAAGTCTCGAGTGTCACGGCTGAACGCGACTTCTGGATGGTCCTTTTTTGTGTGTGTGTGTGTGTGTGTGTGTGTGTGTGTGTGTGTGTGTGTGTGTGTGTGTGTGTGCCGGCCATTCAAGATCTGAACAATAACGACAGACAATAGAGTGCCTGTCGACCTCGATGACATTTCCGACGTCTGAGGGGACGGCGACCAATCGATTTCACGCTCTCAAGCGTACACAAATTAGTGGCGGTTATCGCGGGCAGACATCAACCACTTTGCCGAACGAGCTACAAGGAGGTCAAGTTTGCATAACCATCAGATATGCCTGCCACTGGGAACAGCAAGCACTCACTACCTCTGCTATTTACATTTTTACAGGGTTGGTATTCTATACAAATTCGCTCACGGAAGATAATTAAAAGGAAAAATTAAAAATGAATGACTGCTGCCATCTTGCACACTGACATGACAAAACAAGATAGCAACCCGAGTTACATCTCAAACTGGAAACTGAAAATTGGTAACATGCTCATATGTATAAAGGTAGCAACCCGAGTACAAAAGGGACCTAAGACAGATCCGAGGAGTTCACATCTTGCCAAATGACAAATCACTAAAATGCTAGCATGGTAGCAATTGGCATGCTAACATACAACACGCTAGCAACCCCGAGCACAGAAAGCGCAAAGACATATGCCAAAGACTTTAACCCTTTCAGGGAAAGCGGTTTCTACAGTGGACGGCTTATCATGTTATCAGGTTACAGGTTATCATTATTATCATTGTTGATTTTTTTTCATACGATTTAATTTTTTTTTTCTCAAATGACAAATCGCGTAAATGTTAACTGCTATCCTAACATCGAGTAGGATGAGTTGAGAGCAAAAAAATAAATAAATAAAATATTCATACTCTACTCAAGACAAGATAAACGCAAAAAAAAAAAAAAAAAAAAAAAAACATTTTCTAAATAAAAATAATTAAAAAATGAAACTATGCAGCATTGAGCAGACTAGAAATGTGTGGACCTCGAGCCACCAGCTCCTTCCACGCTTCCACGTGTGAACGGAAAGCCCCTGGTCCAGAGGAAACTGGGTCTTCCTCTGGGTGTTGTTTTAGCGTTTGTAGCACTCTCTCTACAACTGTTCCTGCCTCTTTCCTTTCTGGTTTACCTCAGCACCCCCCCGCCCAACCCTGCTCCCCTCGTGCATTTTCAAAAAGCCTTTCAACACTCAAACCCGTGTTCGGCTCGGGCACTGATCTCGGGTGTCCGAAGATAAAGAGATACCACTCGTATCCCATGGAGATAAGACCGTAGTCAAAGCAAGAAACTCAGCAGGTGATCGCCATAACACATGCGCACAGACGCAGGCATTCGCATACGCACAAAAACTTTACTGCAAGCGTATTTATTCTGGTGAAAATGTACGTTTTTGGAAAGGGTTGAAGGCATGAAATCACTCCCATATTGTTTTTTTTTTTCTCAGTCTCCCAAATATGTTTCAGTTAGTAACAGGTCGAGCCTCGCGCGCAGCAAAAATTTGCAGACCATTGGCTTTGTGATGAACTCCCTCTCTCGCTACCATCCACCAAAGACGTAAACGCAAACTATTTGCTGACGGGGTGACGGCGCTGCGATCTGTCCGAACTTGCCCTTTAATAATATTGCTTTCGTCCAGAATAACACGCAACACGCTAATAGTGCAAAGCGGTGGAATACAAAGAGAAGCACACCCAACCATTCACTCAGACTGGGCGAAGCTCATATTTCACACCGTTTTGTTGATGTGAAAAGGTCTACTCAGGTGAAAAGGGGATGGTCTTCTTTCAGAGAGGATAAACAAGGGTTGATTTTATATCATGAGAAAGGAAGTAAAATATTCGCGAATCATCTTGTTTAAAAATGCAACGTGTTCAGTGTCAAGGCTCCGTTCTGTTCCCTGAAATTATCAAAGTAACAAGCGACGAAAGATAACAAACTGTACCATGGCACATGTTTGTGCAGTTTCCCTTCCATATCATCGAGGGGAATCTTCTACTCCATTTATTCTCACTCGTAAAATGTTAGCCACAGAAAGATTACACTCTGTGCCATATCGGCAGGCGCTTGTTGAAACTCAACAAAGCTAACACAGGAACTGTTCCTGTGTTAGCTTAACAGCTTACCAGCTGTTAGCATACCAACTGGTATGCTAATAGGTAGCAGGATAAAAAGCTGAGTATAAAACTAATTTATTGACATCTATAGTCAAATACAAAAATAAATCACAATTTATTAACCCTTTCAGGGACAGCGGTTACTACAGTGGACGGTTTATCATGTGATCAGGTTAACAGGGTGCATGAAGGGGTTAAATGCTAACATACCTAATTTACAACTTCGGCGGATTCCAGGTGTTCTGCAATTTCTATGCGATTGAATCCAAACGATTCCAACCGACTCAATGCCAATTTTGTGTGATCCAGACAGCCCCCAACATCCTCTGTCTCCGCTCTGCCTTTTGAAGTAAGCGAATACTTTCGGCTCAAGGTGGAGTCCAGATGTCGGGGCGGCAGGCAAAGACTTGAGAATTGAAGATGCAGAGCCACAAAAAAAAAAAAAACCACTTTGGTTTATGTTTGAATGCCACTGTTAATATATACATGAGGGTCATTAACGGCCATGTTGTCAAAATTTACAGGTGCGGTTTTACAGTGTCCTCAGGCTCGAAACTTTCCCCAAGTCATGTACAGATGACACCTCAGGGGATGGTGAATGTCATGTTTTTATGGATTCATAATGGAGTCATATTGACTTACGAGTGGGAATAAATGAACAAACAAGAGTAGTTTGTGGCATGAAACCGCCACTGGCTCATTTCACCGTGTACCGTACTCACAAACACATTTTCAGAAATGGGCAACACACAAAAGAGTTACTTGGTTGTGTGATTTCACACTCTGAGTGGGCAGCCTCCAGGGGACCTCTATCTTTCTTTCGATACAAGCAAGCACAATGTCAATTTTCCATAGTTGTAGCAGAGCACACTTCGTATCCGCACAATGGACAGCAAATAATCTTTTAGACCAAAAGCATTTTTCTTTGTGTGGACTCGAAGACCCTGTTAAATGCTCATCATCGTCAAGGTCAGAGAGAGACACCGCAGTCCGCTCCCTGGGGATGAGCTCCCGACTCCCCGCAGGAAAAAAAACATTTATTGTCCTCCTTTTTTGCCAGCACAGGAATGATTGTCATTGCGGTCCCGAGCAAAGCGTCTGTTTCCAATCATCGCAGCTACGCTGCCAAAAGCTGGAGCAGAAGCCGTCTTAATGACTTGGAACACCGCAAACAAGCGGCGCAAAAAGTTGACGGCGTGCCTGCCATGACCCCTTGGGTTGGGGGTGGGGGGTAGGTGGAGTTCCAGGGCGCGGCACTGCGGAGGGCAAGCGGCGCGTGCAGTGGCGCCGATGGCCCCCCCCATCTAATCCGGCGCGTCTCTGGGGTTAAGCCCCTCCTGACAGAAGGTCCGATGATTGGCCTCGATCTGATCGCCAATGATAACGAGTCAAGCCAGACGGCTTTACAGTTTTTTTTTGTTTTTTTTTTTAAACATGACACAATACAAGTGTCTTAATCAGAGAAGCTAATCGGGTCTGAGCTCCTTCCAGTGTGCATTTTTTTTTTTTTTTTTGCCGTAGAACGCAGCCTTCATAGCTCGAGTTTAGTCTTGCAACACAAGTCAGGATTAGCTCTTCTAGTGTCTCAGGCGATTTGTCAAATTGATATTTTCTTCGAAAAATAAAAAAGTCAAGCCATTTGAGGTCGGGGCTCGCTGGTCGGAGTGCCTGGTGCCAGGCCCTATTCCAATGGGGCCCAGCCAGGCTCAGCCCGAAGAGGCAACGTAGGTCCCCCTTTTCATGGGCTCACCACCTATGGGAGGGGCCAAAGAGGTCGGATGCAAAGTGAGCTGGGCGGTGGCAAAGGCGGGTACCTTAGTGGTCTGATCCTTGGCTACAGAAGCTAGCTCTAGGGACGTGGAATGTCACCTCCCTTGCAGGGAAGGAGCCCGAGCTGTTGTGCGAGGCAGCGAAGTCCCGACTGGATATCGTCGGACCTGCCTCCAAACACAGCCAGGGCTCTGGTACCATCTCTGCTTTTTGCAGATGATGAGGGGGTTGTTGGCTTCTTCGAAACAGGATCTCAAACTCTCACTGGAGCAGTTCACAGGCAAGTTTGAAGCGGTTGGGATGAAAATTAGTGCCCTCTTTGGGTCGGGGATGAGATCTTGCCCCAAGTGGAGGTCTTGTTCACGAGTGAGGGCAGGAGGGAGCGGGAAATCGACAGGTGGATCGGTACAGCATCTGCTGTGATGCGGACTTTGTATCGGTCTGTCGCGTTGAAGAAGAAGCTGAGCCAAGAGGCGAAGCTCTCAATTTACCGGTCGATCAACGTTCCTACCCTCAACTCTAGTCACGAGTTATGGGTCGTGACCGAAAGAACGAGATCCCGGATACAAGTGGCCAAAATGAGTTTCCTCCGCTCCCTGAGAGATAAGGTGAGAAGCTCGGTCATCCGGGAGGAGCTCAGAGTCGAGCTGCTTCTCCTCCACGTTGAGAGGAGCCAGATGGGAGCCAGATGAGGTGGCTCGGGCATCTGATTAGGATGCCTCCTGGACGCCTCCCTGGTGAGGTGTTGCGGGCATGTCCCATTGGTCGGAGGCCCCTGGGACGACCCAGGACACGCCGGAGAGACTATGTCTCCCAGCTGGCCTGGGAACGCCTCGGGAGCCCCCAGGAAGAGCTGGAAGAAGCGGCTGGGGAGAGGGAAGTCTGAGTTTCCCTGCTCAAGTTGTTGACCCGACCTCAGATAAGCGGTCGAAACTGGATGGATCGATAGATGATCATTTCTCAAGCGCTATCTAACAGATACTCACCACCAAACCGTCTGCTTAATTTACCTCTAATGTCAGCTGTGGAAAAAAATGAGGGGGGGGGGATTCTCACAACACATCAAATTGAAGAGAGATCTCCAAACTTGACAATAAATTGACTTAAGAGGTTTCACTGTAGACACAAAAACCGGTTGTACCTCAGTGCCGTTCGTAGCAAATGCATCAATATTTGATCACAAAAAGGAACTTTGACTACAGGGTAAAATTGATCACAAACATTGGCTGTTTCACAGCACGCAGGCATGCCGAGTTCCCACCTGGAACACATTAGATAAGGTACAGACACTGTAGTTGCCTCGCTCTCGATCCACATGTGTGCTGTGTAAACAAATACAGTGCAGCTCAGCCTCTGGCAACATGGCATCATGGCAACACGGTTTGGGCACTATGATGAACTTCTTAATTCATTTCAAATGACACCATGCAAACTTCCACCAGCATTTCAATTTAACCCTTTCAACCCACCGCAACTGCTGGGCCGTGACCCACTTCAGCTAGTCAAAAAGTTGCTCTTCTTTTTTTTTTTTTTTTGCAGTACGGTACAGAGGTTGAGCTACCAAATTTTCACACGGAATATATTAGGAAAGGTACGAGAAATGCGACATCCTTGAGCTCTAGCGAGTAGTTTACTCTGTAAACAAACACAGTGCTACTCTGCCTCTGCCTGGTGCGTCGCGGCTCGCAATCTGCTTTTGGTGATCCATCAAACTCATTTTAAACTGCCTTTCAAAAAACAAGCCCCAAACCACAAACATCGCGATTGTCCTGATCCAAGACTCCCCGCCCCACCGGAGAAAAACAGATCATTGCGTCCTGCCCAGAAGGTTGCACTCGAACGCAGCGCAATGACAGCTCATACAGCCTCACCTGCCACTCTGCACAGGTAAACAAATGGCTTCCTGACCCGCTCTGACGGACCAATGGATGATCATGTCTTGGGGGTCTGAGACTCGTCCGTAGCCGGTCTAAAATGGCCGCTCAACTGTGTCAGACAAAACTATTCACCTCGGAATTCACGGCTCATCACACACAGGCGGAAGGAAGGAACGTGTGGGTGTGTGTGTGTGTGTGTGTGTGTGTGTGTGTGTGTGTGTGTGTGTGTGTGTGTGTGTGTGTGTGTGTGTGTGAGCGCTCAGGCGGTTGTGTTGCTGTTAGCTGGTGGCGGTCTTGCCAGTGGGATGTTATCTCATCTCCACTGATGCGTGTCTTTCATGGCCTGGAAATGAAACCATTGGCTTTTGTGTAGAAGACAAACACATCAACGACTTAAATAAAACACTCTCAAGGTGAGAATTTGGACAAAGTTATATCCGCGATAACATCTTGGCCTTTCCTGAATCTCTCCGCCTTCTGTAACTCAAACCTCCTGAGACTGTTTTGTTTTTCTACCCCCGCGAGGCACGCACCGTCGCCAGCGGGGTTGCTCTTCCTGTATGGTTGTCATGCTTTCGACGCTGCCGTGGGATAAAACTTCGACTAGGCTCTGCTTGAATAATCACGCAGATGGAAAATATAAGAAAGCAAATTGATGTATTGAATGAAGGAATACATGGTCAATTAAAAAAAAAATTCTGCTAGATAAAGCGGAAACGTGACTATAAATATAAAATTAATTCCAAATCATGTAAAGTAGAATAAATAAGATGTAATGAAACGCTATATAAAATACTAGAGTCAATAATAATAATAACAAATCATCAAAAATAATTTAAGATATCGATCAAGTAGCATTTTGACATCGCATAAAAATATCAGAAAAAAAATTAAATTACATCATTAATAAAATACCAATAATAAATACAAAATAATAGTACAACGACTAATAGCAGTAATACGTCTCGTAAAAGTTATTGAAATTGATTATTAATATGTCATAAACAATACCTTCTAAAAGACTACACAGTCATCATCATTAGCAAAGCTCTTAAAATGCATTTCTACCACTAGGAGGTCATCAGACATTTTTTTTTATGGGCGCAGCATAAAAATATTGCCGCCACACAACGATTATAATGATGTTGTTATTTCAACCTAAAATATTTATAAAACAAGTCGGACTGCGGTACAGTCAAAAGAGCAGCGAACTTAAAATGGCAACAGGGTGGCAATTTTGGCGAGCCTAATGCTCGTTTATTTCAATTGCAACCCCAATGCAAAAACTACTGAACGATTTGCGTACAAACGGCGCAATAAAAGTGACGCATGATTGCGACACCCGCAAGCGACAATTTCCTCTTTAAAAACACAACAAAACAAAACCCAAACAACAACTTTTTTTTTTTTGTTGCTCACGAGCACCTGCCCAGCGTACAAGTTGCCAAACGAGTCCGCGTACGTCGCCCGAGTACAACTTAGACTCGAGAGAAGCGAAAACAAATGCAACCTTACCTCAGTGGTCAACGGCGAAGTGCAAAAAAGTTGTTTGGCTCATGTCAAAGAATGGAATAATCCATGTGCATGCTCGGCCGCGCGACCATCGCCGGTTGCCTGCACCCCTCTCTCTCTATCTCTCTCTCTCTCTGTGTGTGTCTCTCCCTTTGCAGGCTCCGACAAGTCAAACGGCGAGCCCCCTCCAGTGGTGACATCACGCGGCGTCGCCATGCCAACCGCCGTGACTCCACCCCGGCCGGGCTGCAGCTGACTGATCGTACCTGTCTGACAAGCTCTCGAACGACATAGTCCATTTTTGCTGCACTCAGCAGCAAACTGCGCACTTTTGTCATCCCCCTCGAATGACGCAAAAACTACAGCGGGTCTTAAAATAATAATAGTAAAAATAATCATCATAAATGGGGAGCACAGTGGTTAGCACGTCCACCTCACAGTGCAGTGGTGCGGGGGTTCGATTCCGGCTCCGGCCGTTCTATGTGGAGTTTGCTTGTTCTCGCCGTGCCTATGTGGGCTTTCTGCGGGTACTCCGGTTTCCTCCCACATACCTAAAACATGCAGGGCAGGTTGATTGAACACTCGAAATTGTCCCGAGGTGTGAGTGTGAGCGCGGATAGTTGGATGTCTATGTGTGCCCTGCGATTGGCTGGCGACCAGTTCAGGGTGTGCCCGGCCTACTGCTCGAAGACAGCTGGGATAGGCTCCAGCACGCCCCGCAACCCTTGTGAGGATAAGCGGATCAAAAAATGGATAGATGGGTGGATGATAATAAATAAAGAGCAGAAGCCTCCAATTGTTTTAAAGGAAAAAAAAATCCTATAGATAGGACAAAAAATATTTTTTGGTGTGGAAAAATTTTTACAAAGTACTGAAAGTATAATGAGAACAAAGTTGCTTTTTCTTCTTTTTTTTTTGAGAATAAAGTAAAAAGTTATTCAGGACTATATATTTTTTTTTAAAAACGTATCTACACTTGTGTTAATGGACTAATGAATTTACGCAGGCTTTCTCCTGTGAAAGATTATTTTTTTTAAATCCAGTACAGTGCAGTTCTTTTTAATGTTGAAGTACAATACACGCCACCTTTTAGAACACCTTGTTTGCAAATAACGTGAATTGTAACAGGAATGATTTGACACAACATTGCGACACCACATCGGTTGAGTGCTTAGCACGTCATCTTGAGGTTTCCCACTACCAAGGACGACACGGCCCGGTGGGTCCCGCATGGCCTGATGCCAACGTCGCCACGACCGCAATTGTTTTGGCTCGACACAATCGCTTTGCCGCTCCCTTTTGTCGGCCGTGAGCCGGTGCAAACAACTGGACAACGCGACCAGGTGAAACCCACTCAAGAATCTGTCAGAAAGCAGCCACTTGGAAAACGAATGCAGTTGCTGGAAGTTCATTCACTTCACTGCCTACGAAGTACATCGAGAAACTTTTCACACCAGCACTGAGTGGAAAGTGAACCTACGCTTGCCTGTACAGAAGTGACCCGCGACTACACCATTGGTGACCAGTTCTTACAAATGTCCCAAACAACAGTGAGTCCACAAATTCACAATATTTAATAGGAATCCAACCAACCCTTGCTAATTAGATGCAATCTTACAGTTTCATCCAATCGTCACCACTTTTCAATGAACTGGATCAACCATTGGAGCTTTCTGCCAATTTTGCCCAAAACAGCAATCCCTAGCGCTAACCAAACGTGCTTTACAAGAGCATTTATGCATATATCCGTCACCCTTTGAGGGACAGCGGCTACTACAGTGGACAGCTTATCATGTTAGCAGGTTACAGGGTGCATGAAAGGGTTAAATGTACTTTTTCCTGACCAATACCAGTACAAATATTCACTCTTCGAGTACCGATACCTCTCATAAAAAAATTCAATGCATACGATGACAGAAAATTGTGAAGAAACATTTTTCTTGCTAATGCAGACGATGATTCGACAATGTGTCAAACAGCCACAGGAAAAGGCCAACTACCTCCGAGGAAGACTTATTGGACATTTTTCTTTTTGTTTTAAGTATTGGTAGCCTCCACGGATACCCAATACCAACATCAAATGTAATTTTGGCAAAATGCTGCCACAAAATCAAGCATTTTAGGCTGCAACATAAAAAAAATAAAAAAAAACAATCAATAAAAGAGATGCTCTTACCTGCTCCCGCAGCCTTTCCTGGTGGCCCATGATTGCCGAGGCGTGATGTGGGTACTTGTGCTTGAGGTGCTCCAGGAAGGCCTCCCTCTTCTTGTCCATGTCGGGCGGCTGCATGGCCAGGATCTCTCGGCTACCTCGGGCTCCCCCTAAGGTGTGTCTCCGCGGTACGGCGCGGCCGCTGCTTTTGGCGTCTGCCCTGGAAGCGGGCGCCCCATTTGGCGAGGCCTGCCTCCTTGTGGCGTACTCGGCGTCCTCGGGGGAGGTGACCCTCAGGTTGCTCTTGGTCTGCTCTGAAATATTCAGAATTGTCCATATTAACCCTTTCAGGGACAGCGGTTACTACAGTGGACAGCTTACCATGTTATCAGCTTACACGCAGGGGTGTCAAACTCATTTTTGCCACGGGCCACATTATAACCGGTTCCCTTGTAGGGCCGTTATGACTGTGAAACCATATTAGGAAATCCAGAATAATGGTTTATTATTGTTTAAGTTACTATAGTGAGGGTTTTGGTAACAAGAAAACGTACAATAGCTCTCTTATATATTTCATATGAGAATTTGAAATTTTGGGTACAAATTTTAGTAAGCATCATTGAAGTCAACATGTTTGATTTGCTTTCACGGGCCACGTCAAATGATGCGGCGGGCCAGATCTGGCCCCCGGGCCTTGAGTTTGACACCTGTGGCTTACAGGGTGCACGAAAAGGTTAAAAGGGGAACCCAAGAGCAAAAATGTTCTCGCAATAGTTAACTCTATCTGCCTCCACTAGTCTTAACATGATATTCTGAATAATATCGCATTTGCGGAAGAAGCACTCATCAGATGAATCCATCCGGTTTCAGCAATCGCAGGGGCACTGCCATTTTACCGCCCCCTGCTGTCGACTGAAATTGCTGTCAAAGTCCCCTCAGGCTCACATTGCAAACGATCACGTGACCAGAAGATTAAAAAAATCTTTTCGGCGAGCCTCTTCATATATGTCACTGAGTACTTTTTTTTCCCCAATGATGCTCGTCTGACCGGAGTGAGCAAAGCTTTCGCTATCGCTAATGCTAGTTCAATTAATGTATGTGACCTAGTCAGGCATCCAGATCCAAAAATAAATACCGCATGACTGAGCAGCTGAACATGACAAGTTCAGATTTTTTTTTTCTTAACTCCAAATAGGAAAGTGTCAAGCAGCTCAGAAGACTACGAACATTATTTTTAAATTGACTTTGCTTCCACATATCAGGGCGTTTTATTTTATCTTGTTTTCCGACTCGGTTGACAGCGGGGGCATTGAAATGTTCCTCAAAACAATATTTCCACGGTAAAAGTTGCGTAGAGATGAAGAACAAGCGTCAACCGGCGCTAGCAAGGGAACCGATTGACGGGAAGGGGGTTCTATTTATGACAAGAGCCACTTTTGTCCCCACCGGGTCGTCTCGCAGTCGTCCGAGCATTTGCGCGCAGAAACGCCGTCTCCGCTTGACAGCACAAGAAACACATCATCATCCTGGCCCGTTTCTCCCCAAAATACCGGCTGTGGATTAATGCTTCTATACACGGCACGCAAAATATCAAACGATAGAAAGGGGAAAATAAACTTTCGGTGACGGGATGAAGCGAACCGGTAAAAGGTTCATTTCTGTGGTTGACGACGCACTGTTCAACTCGTTTCTTATTGACGGGTAAATACGACTTGTACGCTCCATTCCACGCTCGGGCAGCTTCTTAACGAAGGGCAAGAAAGCAAATTTGGAGGAGAACGTATACAAATTTGATAAGCCTCCTCCCCTTCTGGTTTGAGTTCTAACTGCGGATCTTTTGAGGAATCCCAGCTTTGATCGGTAAACACACACACACACACACACACACACACACACACACACACACACCAAAAAAAAAAAAACCCAAAAAAATGGTGCATCACGATGCGGCGTCTGTCACCGGCACCGTGGTCCCAAACGACCCCCCC